CACACACACACACACACACACACACAAACACAGGAGTACACTTTTATACTATTCCCTGTAAAGCAAGAGGCGTCGGTAGCCTAGATCTAATGGTTAGGCTACCAGACTCGCAATCGTGACATTGTGGGTTCGTGGGTTCGACCCTCAGCTCAGTTCGACGTAGTGTCCTTGGGACAGGCACTTTACACGAATGTCCCACTTGTCTCGAGGTTTCGGAGAAGTACGTTAAACTTGGAGGTCCCGCCTCTTAAATAACCTAACAGTGTTGATAGGGGCGTAAGACCTTTACCATTCCACCTTTAAAGCAGGCGACTGGTGGCTACTTTGATGTGGTATGATGAGTTCTTTCTTTCACTATCTCTGACAAATTTGTACATTCTTCTCTAGGGAGAAATTCCTTCACTCCACACCACACAACACCCCATGTGAAGTCTATTGTCACTAAAGTTTGGATGGTGTTGCATGTAAGTACGAAGAAGGCAATAACAGATGTAACATTACATTTTTATGATTGTAATTCAGCTACAGGTAATGCTCTCAAATGGGGGATTTTGTCGTTTTCTTTAACACTTTTACTGTAAACAACTGATTTCTCTAGCTTGACAAATGACAGGCCAATTAATTATAACAATTATGTCCATTCAGCATTATTCACGTAATTTCTATATCTGGTAAATGGACATAATTTAGAAGTTTATTTTTGTTTTATTTTGTTTCGATTGGCCATGGTTGGTCTATTAGTTTGCGGTTTTGTCTCACGGTGAATCCTTTCAATATTATATAGATGTGTACTCGCTTGTTTCCTCTAAAATAAATTCCTTGAAATTTTGTTTCTACTGGTTTATAGAGGAAGTCTTAGTTAATTACAGTTCCAGCTTTTGGTATTTGCTTATCCGTAGAATGATGATAGTACTAATAATACTTAGCATTTGTATAGCACATATCCCCGCTCGACAGCAAGCTCTATGCGCTTTACACACTTTATTATTACCCCAGCAGACCTTAGAACACCCAGAAACATTCTCAGTTTCCCGGAAAGCATGCTACAGTGCAAGCAGCTGATTAAGCGCTCAAGCACTATCACACTGACAAGATCTTTTACTGTCTATAGCTAGGTACCCAATCCCACCTCGGTGAAGTGAGGAAAATTCGTGTAAAGTGCCTTCCCCAGGGACACAACGTAGGGCCCTTGATGGGACTCGAATCCACGACCTTACGGGTTTGAGTCTGAGAGCTCTACCACTCAGCCACCGACGCCATGGTGAGGATAGCTAAGAGGCTTTGTGCTTCGGTCTCTCTAATAAGAACATTGTATCGTGTCTGTACACACCTAGGTAGTGAGTAGTTACTCGGTGCTCTGGTGTGGTTTACCCCTTCTTTCCTATCAAGAATGCATTGTCCTTATATGCTCGTTCCTCAATATTGATAGTTCTAATCTTCGGCACAATCCCCACTCGGGAGTCGAGCTATGGTCTTCTGTGTACGACGGCAAAGTGACGACTTGCTACACCAGAGACGCTGTCTAAACAATGTATCCACGCATTATGTTTGTTTTGGTAGGCGGAATGCCCTTCGGGGATTAATAAACGTTATGTGTGTGTGCATGTTTGTTTGTGTGTGAATGTGTGTGTGTGTGTGTGCATGTTTGTTTGTGTGTGAATGTGTGTGTGTGTTTGTGTTTGTGTGTGTGTGTGTGTGTGTGTGTGTGTGTGGATGTGTGTGTGTGTGTGTGTGTGTGTGTGTGTGTGTGTGTGTTTGTGTGTGGAAAGTGGGGGGGGGGGTAGACTTGTCATGGTATGCCCTAATTTACTTGTTTACTTGTTTACTTGTGTGAAGAACCGACATCACTGCACAAGGGGCATTCCCATAGGCGCTCCGTCCCCTGAAGAAGCACATCTCGAAGTGTGTAGATGCTGACGGTTCCAAGCAATGGTTGATTCCATAGCCTTCTGCTCCTCCCACTAAGTCTTGAACTTCTGCAGGCGCCCCAATTGTGAGCCTGATAGAAAACGTTAGCATCTTTCCATGAAAATCTCACTAATGCTACAGTTTAGCAAGATTTGCTGCCATTGTGGTGTTTGTGCAGTTTTGAAACGTTTTAAATGTAAGAGGGTGAACTAAAAGCCAGACTAGCAGCAGCCCAAAGAAGATTATAACTACGACAAAGGAAAGGTATGCGCTACGGCACGCACTTCTAGTGAATGGTGCATAATATGACAAAAATTCCCATGTGTGTCAAAACACAGACACAAACGCATACATTTAATTATCCTGTCGAGTTGTCGTTTCCGTTATAATGTTAGACACTTCTGCGCTGTGTAAACGCCTATTGACCCTGCATCAAAGACTTCAGTCTTGGAAGCTTATTCGGTGTTTGTTCTTTAACTTACACATGTGAAATAATGAACTAACACTATTAGCGCCTGGCTGGTTATAATAATAATAAACTGTCTGTACATGAGAAAAGAGACCATTAATACGTCGCTCACGACAAAATTGAACTAGCAAACTGCAGATGTGTTAAGTGATCACAATGCTATAAATAA